TAATTAACATAATAATAATAATAATTTAAAAATTAATAGCACCCAAATATCTATATGAGTATAATCAAAATTATGACATAAAGATGGGTTGAATACTGACAGGGACATGGCCTAATCCTCAAAACCTGAAAGGATTGTATTTGAAATAAACACTAGCTACAAATTTACTACCCCCTGCTAAGAGGGCCTTTTTATAAGGTAGTGTTAATAAAACTAAAGAGCATAGTCAAACTTAATAACCAGAAGATGCACAAAAACATCAAACTCATGCACCAAACTCCTACTTTAAATTATCACTGATCTAGTACAAAAATAGCCAAGATCACATACCGGTATTTTTTTATTTATGATCTGACATAGCCAGCACTGCAGACGAAACTAAACTCAGGTTTAGTTGGTCTGTGAAACAGTGCCACATCCTTGTTCTAGGCCCTCATCTGTGTACCAGGATTTGAGTGCACGCCATGATTGGCCTGTTTAAAAAGCCTTTGTTGATTTGCCAATAAGGTTAAAGGAAATGCAAGATAATTCATTGAGTCCCATTGGAGGCCAAGAACAAGGCTATTGGCACTGCTTCACAGACATTACTCACCTAGGTTAAATTTCATCTGCGGTGTTGGCTAGATGTGACATTGTTTTACATTCTACCTACAGAAGAAACCGAGTCTTCTGAGTCAGGAAAGCTAAGTGAAACCAATGAAGTTGTCAAGCACTTGTCAAGAACAAGATTAGTAAGTTCACTCCACAGTAGACTTCTGGTCATGTTAAAACACTCCGTGGATGAAATCTTTTTTGTCTGAAAGGCTCATTAGCCACTATCCCAGTGATTAAGAGCGGTAAATGTAAGCTTGCCTGTCTAATATCTTATTATGCAGTTTTGTCAGTACTGTACTTCTGACCTTGACCATACCCAAAGCATGAAACTATTTCAACTATTTTTAAGTTTCTTTGACTTCCCTTGCCTGTTTGTGTTAACAGTCACGGTAAGTTATTCAGTCATAGTATGTCAGCATGATTATGTTTGCCTCATAACAGTGTCCTTCATACTTTTAAACTGTGCCATATACATTGTAGATCTTGAGGCAGATATAGATTAGTAGGAAGCATAAAAAGCTGGAAAATCAGTAAAAAGGTCAAGACAGAAAATATAGGACCCCTTGACACCAGTCCAGTTTCAAACAGTGCTGTAATGCTGTCCTTTAATTAGGTGGAAAAAATCCTTTCATTATTCTGAAGGGGGAGGGCTGTCTGAAATTCAGCTGTAGTAGTATATGGTTATCAAATAGTACCTGTGACCAGCAATGTTGCCTCCTACTTTCATCATCAGAACACTTTGTTTACCCTTAAAAACCCAGTTGTGGAACACTTCATGTTGAAAACCCTTGCAGGACAATTACATGACTCAGTACAACTAGTAACTGAAGAAGTGGTTTTTGTCATAATGATGGTAGTTTGTACAGTATATATATTCTTTGTTATTATTAATATCATAGGATAAGGAAAATACCCCAAGAAGAGCAAAGAGTTGGTTTGCTCAGAGAAAAGAAGGAGATCCTTATGATGCAGACTCTGAACCTGAACATGGAGCTATCCCTTTAACAGCAATGACTATTGATCAGAACATTCCTCTGGATAAACAACTCTTCCATTCCAGGCTGTCACCAGTACATACAGATCATTCTACACCAAGCATAGCTGCACCAAACTGTGGTTACCAAACCTCAGATTGTTATGGATTTGATAGCATGCCTTCACCACTACCTTTTTCTCCAGTGGGACAACCTGTTTTGCCACCTAGTTTTGTCCCCAGCTCTCCTGGATCTGTTTCTGTTACATCATCGATTACGTCAATATCTCCTGGAAAAAGGAAAGCTGATCCTCGTATTTTTGATGTGCCAATCGAGAGACCAAGCAAAAAAATGAAAAAAAAGAAAACCAAATTGTTGGTGAGTATTTTGTTGATAATAAGCAATTATTGGAGACCCAACAAGGCAAATGCCAGTCAGGTGACAGACTGGCAATGACATGACTTTGTGATATTGATGAGAAAACCCTCTGGACTCAAGTTAACAAATCACTGACAATTTTCCATGTTCTGTACTCTTATTGACACCATTGCATAATTTCCATGGTCTTAACTCCTATCAAACATAGCTGTCAGCCAATAAGGGCATGAGAAATTGCTCAGTTGTAAAATCTGTGTTTGATGTGGCAAGTGGCTCATTAGGCCAAAGCAGAAAGCAACTAGGGATATGTCTTCTTTCCCCTGGATGGAATGCTAGTCCATCACAGGGTTACCGCCCAGAATTTGATTCACCAGTACACACCTGGGTGGAAGAAAGAATTGTGAGAGTGAAGTGTCTTGCCTAAGAGCACAACATACATGTAGTACCTATGCGGCTACAGCTTGAACCTGGACTTCTCTAGCCATTATGCCAGTGTTTCTCCACTTGTTATGTTGTCAAAAAGTTTTCACCAATACTAACTTAGTTTTGCTCCCATCTGGTTTCCCAGAGTTTACAGTCTCATTTCTAACATGCAAAATAGCTGGTGGTGAAAAATCTACAAACCTCTAGGAAACCAAGTATTAAGCAGCTAAATTTTCATCCTAAATATTGTTGGGGTCATCAGGCAAATTTCTGGAAATCATTTTCCTTGGCTACTGAATTGCTGTCCCCGCTAAGCAGACATCTCCAGATAATGAGAGTTTGTTTGGTCAAGTTCACCCCCCTTTTTTTCTTTGCATCATTTACAGCTTTGCATCAAACTCAAGATATCTTATTTGAACCTTTTCAGGATACAGAAGATGAAGACTGGGTATATGAGTTGAAAGCACAGTTTCAAGAAGTAGAAATGGTTGATCTTGTTATTGACTAGAGAACAGCGTATAATGAAAGTTTGTAACTTACTATGTACCTTTAGCAGTAAGTAACCCTGTGTGGTGTAAATAATTATTATAAGTAAGGTATAATAAGGAACTGTGATAAAACACAGTGATCAAAGAACAACAAACCTTACTGCCAGCTGAACAGCAAGAATTTCCACGATCAAACAAGCTTTGTTTGAAAAAAAAAAAAAGGAAAAGCACTTTCACACCGACAGACTTTCACCAATTTTAAATTAAACAAGCATTTTTAGCAGGACTTTCCATTTCTACTAGTAATAATCTTGAATGTGTACTATGCATCTGTCTAATTTATTCCAGAAAAGAAAATTAC